AGAGATCCGGGGCTGGCGGCTCCGTGTCCTGGGAGCCCGTGCCGCTGCCTGCCCGCAGCCCCAAGCGATTTTTAAAGCAGTGAAATGAGGATGTTGGAACCGCCATCTGCGGCGTCTTTCGCAGGCTTCAGAGATCTGCCAGCTCTGGAGATGACAAATGCCAGCTTGCAACCCTCAGAGGAACACCTCTTCACCCCGCGTCTCTCGGGCTTCCCTCTCTAGACAACGTCCGCGCCCAGGCTGTCATGCGTCCTGTCGATTCCGCAGGCACACACGTGCACACATGTGTACACATGCACACACGCAGAATGCACACATACACAGTGCACACATATGCACACACGTGCTGAAGACAGAAGCTGGCATGGATGAATTGGGACCAGGGTGGAGGGAAGGCAGGGCAGGTAGGAGGGCTCCTGGAGTCAATACAGCCAGAGGGCTGGAAGGATGGATGCTGGGAGGAGGGGGGCTGAGGAGATGGGGCCTGGGAGGAGGGGGGCTGTAAGGACAGGGGGGCTGGGAGGAGGGGGGCTGAGGAGATGGGGGCTGGACGGCCGGGGGAGGGACAGCGGCTGTGCCCCCACGGCCCTGCCTGCTCCGGGACAGGCCTGGCGCTGGCTCTCCTCCTCAGCCGGCAGCGGAGCGAGGGCGCCGTGGCGCCTGCTCACTGTAACCCCAGCTTTCGTTGTGGAACAAAGCTCCGGTTCCACCACGTAGAGCTTTCTGGGAGGAGTGAAGGGTGCAGACAACCTGCCCATGGTTGGGGACAGCCGCTGGCTGTGGGTGGTCGGAGGAGACCACCGGTGACGGTGGCGCGGAGGCCGGGGCCACTGAGAGCCGGCCGACCCCTCCAGGCTCTGCCAGCCCCCGAGTCCAGCCAGCCCCGCAGCCCACTGTCCCTGTTAGCTCTCCTCTCCCGCCACTGTGTCCCCTGGCGTCAGTGTCCCCAGGGCGCCGCCCCAGCCCTCCCCTCCTCTATCCAACTCCCCCACCACGGGCCCTCCCCGCAGGACTCTGCGGGAGAGGAAGATCAGCGAGGACCAGGAGAACAAAGCCACCTTCCCGGACAACTACGACGCGGAGGAGAGGGACAAGGTGAGCCTGGCGCGGGCGCGCGGACGGGCGGAACCGGGGCCGTGCACACAGACGGGGCTGCCTGCGCGCACCTGCGCCTGACCCGGCTGCGCCCTCAGGCCTACAGGAAGTGGAGCTCCGAAGGCCGCGGGGGCCGGCGGGGCCACGACGCTCCCATGATTGCCTACGACGCGCTCCTCGCGGCGGGCAGCAGTTGGGCAGAGCTGTGTCGCCGGGCCATGTTCCACGCAGGTAAGCCTCGCCTGCCTCAGTGGCTCCCGCGGCGCTCCCCTGCCCGTGCAGCGCACTGGGCGTGGCCAAGGGCCTCGGGCTCCGCGGGAACCCCCAGTCCAGACCCGGGTCCTTCCCTGCGCGTCTGGACCCGCCGTGGGAGGCCGCGGCCGGGTGCGCGTGTGTGGACACCACCAGTCTGTGTTCTCCGGCCGCGCCGGCCCAGGGGGCCGAGTGAACGTGAATGAGTGGTCGTGGGCAGGTGCCCGGCTCCCTGCCTGGCGCAGAGTCCTGCGGGGAGGGGCCCGTGGTGGGGGAGTTGGGATAGAGGAGGGGAGGGCTGGGGCGGCGCCCTGGGGACACTGACGCCAGGGGACACAGTGGCGGGAGAGGAGAGCTAACAGGGACAGTGGGCTGGCGGGGCCTGGCTGGACTCGGGGGCTGGCAGAGCCTGGAGGGGTCGGCCGCCTCAGTGGCCCCGGCCTCCGCGCCACCGTCACCGGTGGTCTCCTCCGAGACCACCCACAGCCAGCGGCATGTCCCCAACATGGGGCAGGTTGGCGGTGCACCTTCCAACTCCTCTCCAGAAAGCTTACGTGGTGGAACCGGAAGCTTTGCCCACAACGAAAGCTGGGGTTACAGTGAGCAGGCGCCACGGCGCCCTCGCTCCGCTGCCGGCTGAGGAGGAGAGCCAGCCCAGGCCGTGTCCCGGAGCAGGCAGGCCGTGGGGCACAGCGCTGGTCCCTCCCCCGGCGTCCAGCCCCACCTCAAGCCCCCCTCCTCCCAGACCCCCCTGTCCTTCCAGCCCCCCTCCTCCCAGGCCCCAATTCCTCAGCCCCCCACATCCATCCTTCCCAGGACCTCACCCTTCCTCCCAGCCTCTGGGCTGTATTGACTCCAGGAGCACCTCCCTGCCCTCCTTTCTCGCACCCGGTCCCAATCATCCATGGCCAGCTTCTGGTCTTAGCACGTGTGTCATAGTGTTGCAACTGTGTGGCATGCTGTGCATGGTGCATCGTGCGGGTGGTGCATGTGTACCACATGTGTGCAGTGTGTGGCCTGCGGACAAGGAGGCATGACAGGCCTGGGCGCGGACGTGTGCATAGAGATGGGAAGCCGAGGAGGACCGGGAGTGAAGAGGTGGTCTCCTTGAGGTTGCAAGCGTGGAATTTGTCATCTCAGAGCTGGCAGACTCGAAGCCCTGCGGCAACAGACGCCGCAGATGGCGGTTCCAAACGATCCCACTTTTCATGCTCTTAAAAAAATCGCTTGGGGCTGCGTGCAGGCCGGCGGCCACGGGCTCCCAGGACACGGAGCGGCAGCCCGGAGCGGCGCAGCCCTGGGCGCTGGGGACGCAGCCCGGGTCCTGCGGCATGCTGCCCAGCCCTTGGGGTGGGGGGCTTCCCCCACAAGACTGGTCGGAGGCAGCTCACGGGCGGGCCTTTGACCGGCTCCGGGAGTGCTGGAGTGTCGCTGGCTGGCGGGCAGGGACCTCAGCGGAGGGAGCAGGGGACGCCGTTTGCCCGTGTCAGGCCCAGAGGCAAGAACCGGGGCTCAGATGAGGAGGTCGCGTCGCACCCCGTTGGCTTGGGCCGGGAGAAGGAGCTGGAAGCGGCGTCGCGGCGTCCCACCGGCCAGGGTTCTGCCGTTGCAGGAGAGACGCGGGCCACGGGCGCATCGCGGGGCTGCCTGTTCGGACGCTGTACGCGGCTGAGACGCCGTCGCCCTAGCGGGCCCATGTACCGACGAGCTGCAGCACCGGAGAGACGCTGAGGAGGCCCTGGGCGCGGCCCTGCACCGCCTGCCACGAGGAGAAGTAAAGCCGGCGCACGCGCATGCTTGCCGGGGAGCCCGTCCTTGGCCCTCGCCCGCGGTCACCGACCGTCGCCGGGACTCTGCGGAGCTCTGTACTGTCCGGAGAACTAACGTCTGTCCGCTCGCCGGCCGCGGCACACTAACAGGCCGCTGCGTCCTTGCGACGGGGGGCAGCCCCACTCCCACGCCTGCCCGCGCGGGCCCAGCGCCCCCCTGCCCTACCGCCCAGCCCGGCCGTTTAGCCACCAGATCGCTGGAGCTCAGCCTCCTCTGGAGCCGACAGCCGCCGGCCCTCGCGCTGCGCTCACTGTGGTCCGGTCCGCAGCACTCCCCGGGCAGTCGGAGTGGAGAGAGGCCTCCCACGCCTGCCCCCTCCGCGTCCCGGCTCTCGAGTCCCGTCTGGAACCGCCAGGCAGCCACACTTGCTCTTGTTGGTTTGAAATAAATCATAGACTCGGAGTCTCGACGTGAGCATGCTGGTGTGAGATAAAACAGCCGGCTGGAGGTGACGCCTAACACGGCGCCTGTTGGAGCTTGGGCGGCGCCGCGCGCGCGGGGTGTCCCTGGGGCCACGGTGTCGGGGCTCCTGTGTGTAGAGAAGCGTAGAGCCGCGTCGGGTGGAGGGCTGGGCTCATTCCGCACCGCGCGGGCTGCAGCGACCGCGTATCCCGATAACTGAGCGAAATGCGGCACGGCTAGCGAGGCTTTCGCCCAAAGACCCAGGCCAGAACCTGGCGGAGGCCCGCCCCCGGCACGTGCGTCCGCCCCCCAGCCCCGACACCATGGCGCGCCCCGGCACGAGGCCCGCCCACCGCAGGGAGCCCTGACCCAGAGCGGTGGGGAAGCGGTTAACTGAGAATTGCTTTCAGAGAAGGAACGCAGCCAAAGGTAATCGCTCACAGCGCAGCACGGTACGTAGTAGCCGGGGCTTTGAGGGCGTCCGCGGCCCGAAAGGGCCTTCCCGTGCGGGGAAGGCTGGGTCACAAGGTGCAGGGGCGGGCTCGTTCTCCCTGATGAGGTTCATGAGAATAAATCCTCCAGGGATCAGAAAGTGTGGCTTCCACAAGTTGATCATAGATTGAGAAGAAATACATGAGCTACACCCTGGAAGGCCAAGGCGGGAGGGTCACTTGAGCTCAGGAGTTCGAGACCAGCCTGAGCAAGAGTGAGACCCCCGTCTCTATCAAACATAGAAAAAAATTAATTGGCCAGCTAAAAATATATAGAAAAAATTAGCCAGGCATGGTGGCGCATGCCTGTAGCTACTCTGGATGCTGAGGCAGGAGGATCGCTTGAGCCCAGGAGTTTGAGGTTGCTGTGAGCTAGGCTGACGCCACGGGCAACAAAGTGAAACTATGTCTCAAAAAAAAAAAAAACCGAAAAAAACAAATACATGGACTAAAGCCAAATCCACAGGCACCATCAAAGTGAAAGGTCTGCCAGTTGCTCCATTTTCCTACTACAGAGAAATGCAAAAGCTGAAAAGGAAAGCAGGACGGGAGGTACTGAGGCGGCTGCTATCGCTGCTCTGATCTCTAATGACTTAACACGTGCTGGTTTCACTTTTGTTGTGAAAGTGACGTGTGCACACAGCCTCTGACATGCAAACGCCGCGCACGCGTGGTGCCGCGTGGGGAGCGGCTCCCAGTCCCCCAACTCACAGCACCAGCCCCAGGGACGCCACGGCCACGGCCCCCCACGCTTCCTTCCGGAAACCCCCTCTGCACACACAGTCGGGGCTGTGCGCGTGCGTGAGTGCCCCCTGACAGACACGCGTGCGTGTGGGACACACACAGTCTCTTCCCACAGATGCAGCGGCTTGCTTTGGCTTTTCCCACCACAGTGGGATTTTCATGTCTGTCTGTGTCTCCATGCATGCCTCCCTCTCGGTCTTTTGAGCGGTTGCCCAGTGTCCTCTCAGACGCGTGCGACCCCCTGACGCAGCTGTGAGCGGTCTCCATGTCCTAAGTGGCGTTTTAAAAACACTGTCCTGTGTGGTCACTTCTAAATGCTGCCTCTACGTCCCTTCTAAAAAGAAATCAATCTCCACCGATAGCACAGTGATGTCACAGATCATCCTAGGATGCATTTTTCTATGTTTAATATTTCTGAGATTGTGGGGCATCCTGTATTCTGGGGGCACAGCCGCCTGTCCCTCCCCCCGGCCCGTCCAGCCCCATCTCCTCAGCCCCCCCTCCCAGCCCCCTGTCCTTACAGCCCCCCTCCTCCCAGGCCCCATCTCCTCAGCCCCCCCTCTCCGCAGCATCCATCCTCCAGACCCTTCCTCCCAGGCCCTCTGGCTGTATTGACTCCAGGAGCCCTCCTACCTGCCCTGCCTTCCCTCCACCCTGGTCCCAATTCATCCATGCCAGCTTCTGTCTTCAGCACGTGTGTGCATAATGTGTGCCACTGTGTGCATCTGTGCATGTGGTGCATCTGCGGTGTGCATGTGTACACATGTGTGCACGTGTGTGCCTGCGGAATCGACAGGACGCATGACAGCCTGGGCGCGGACGTTGTCTAGAGAGGGAAGCCCGAGGAGACGTGGGGTGAAGAGGTGTCCTTGAGGTTGCAAGCTTGGCATTTGTCATCTCAGAGCTGGCAGATCTCTGAAGCCTGCGAAAGACGCCGCAGATGGCGGTTCCAACATCCTCATTTCACTGCTTTAAAAATCGCTTGGGGCTGCGGGCAGGCCGGCGGCACGGGCTCCCAGGACACGGAGCGCAGCCCCGGGCGCGCAGCCTGGCGCTGACGCAGCC